AGCTGTGAGTGGCACCAGAGAGTCTGTCAGGCTATGTTGCCTGTGAGCTACTGACTAATCTKTTTTTCAAGGGAATGGTGATAAGAATGGTACTCCTAGGTCTAGACCCTTTTCCTAATTCTGCCAATGTTCTGTTCTGTGCCTCTGCTTCCCTCTTTGTAAAGACAATATTTATTTTCCTCTTTTATGCCAAGAGAATACAACTATTTGATCACAAAACAGTTGAAAAAGTGTTGAGCTGTTCCTCAAAACACTGAATCACTATTTGCAAGGAGTCAGTTTATGGCCTCTGAGTTGTAATCACATCTCCTGTCCTCTACTGCTGGACCAGTGTAAAAGCTGAATGCCCCAGCTGTTCACTGCTGGTGGCAGACCTGCTCTCTAGCCCTTTCCTCTCAGAATARTGAGAGCTAACTTGCACATGTTTAGAAGGAGGATTTTTCTAACCTGGTTTGTTTAGAGAGAACCTGGCTAGGGAGCAATTACACATGTAGCTACACTAGCAAATGGATGGGGTAAAGTATTCTCCAGGGGTAGAGCAGAGAACAGCTGGCAAAGTTACCTCTTCACTCGGCTTAGCTGGAATTAAACCAGTGCTGGAGACTCACAGCTGAGCTGCTCTTTACAAAGCAAAAAGTAATACCATTCAAGTCCATAGAGCCACCACTCACATACATCTCTTTGAGTGGCATGTGCAGTATCACACCCAAAACACCTCCTGTTTTTGATAAAAATAATTTCTTGTCATGTAAAGACATGTGAAGTTAGCTGCTCCCAAAAGAGAAAACCTACATGCTCACAAACCACACACGACTCCACACCAAATACAGTCACCTAGCTCCTTCAGATAGGCAGTAGGAAAACAARCCTAAAAACTGAAGCACTCTGAATTCCCATGGAGTAAGCTGCTCTCCCAGAAKGTTCCCCTATGCCATAAAGTTCTTTTGAGGATCAGTTCTAAAGATAAGAGAACTACTCCTCTTGTAAAGCATTAATCCTCTGATGAGACTGTAGAACAAATTGTCACTAACATTTCATTGATAGGTTCATCAGAAACTAGATTTATCACATGGAGGCCAGAGAATGTTGCCAGGTCTTAATGCCTTTCAGCCATTACTGGCAATATTGTGACTGTGCCCAAATTTGAAAGGTGGTGTTATCAAATTACCTCTGTTGGCTTCAGGGTTCCTTGATTTTCTGTGCTCTAGTAATGCATCCACKAAATGAAGGCATAAATACTGCATTTTTCTCTACCTACTGCTTTTTAATTTGCTATTTGGAAACATTATGAGGCAAAATGAAGGTATTGCAAATTATCCCACCCACTGTGCAGCACTAATAAACAAAAAAGCCCGTTTTACTCTTGTTTCTCCAGTGGAGCAAACTGTAAGATTTTTCTTGAAAATAAGGAAAAAGTTGTGAAGTTTGGGGGCGAGCTAGGGAGGGGTGGGAGGCTGGGGGGAAGTGTTGTTCCTTTGGTTGCTTGTGGTTTTTTTGGTGAGTTTGGTTTTGTTCTTTTTGTTGTTTTGTGGGAAGGAKGATTTGTCTGGATCTTGAACAGAATGGAAAAATTTTGACAACAGCAATTGATTTTCAGTTGGTACATCTGCCCTACCCCTCAAAACCATATCCATTTAGAGAAAATGTTAAAATATTTTAACACTTCCATCATGTTCAGGGCACATTTAGCACAGGTGGATGTCTCAGACCACCCCGAAGTATAAAACTCCAGTTTTGTGCTAGCTCTACAACCTCTTGCACTGTGGTTAGGTAAAGAACACTGGAACTTGAACTGGATTAAGTGTCCTGGAATCTGTTACAACCATTGCCTTTCCCTACTTGGTTACTTCTTAGTCCTTGCTGAACAGACTTAGGGCACAGAGTCTATTTGTTCTAAATAAGTTCTGTTTTTCTGAGCAGGTATTCCYAAAGCTACTAACCTTTCTGTTTTTCCTCTCCTGAGGAAAAAAAAACAGCAGGGACAATAGTCATACCTGTGATTTTGTAAAGTAACAAGTGTAAGATATTACTTTTACTAGATTATTCTTCTCTAACTACAGTACCATAGCAAATCTTTTCCTACAGAYAGGTATTTCTGTACTATCACACAATGAGTATGTATGAATGTATGGTAAATTTATTAGCATCGGCTGGGATCAGATGATAATTTAGGCAGTTTTGGACAGATAAGTTACAAAGAATTACACTTCCTGACTGAGAGTCAGATGCTCCTAAGTTCACTGTACGACAGCCCATCAACAATCCTACAGCTCTGCAATATTCTGGATGATTTGTTTTGGTGCTTGATGCTTTTGATACTCCTGCAGGATACTCACAACATTTCATTCAAGTTTTTTGCATGGAAAAGATGAGTCTGAAAGCCTCAAACAATTCTGTGTAACATTCCAGTCTATAATGCTGAGCTTCATGGAACAATTCCTTTTGCTCTAGAGGGACATTATGCACTTTTACTGTACTGGTGTTTACTACACCTTTCCTTTCAAATTTTCCCACGTACTGCTTTTCTCCTTCGTAACTTTCAGCAGAGCTATTTTCAAACAAGACATTTTTATTATCATGGATTTCATTAATTTTCCTAAGATTTCTCTGCRTATGTTTTACAAAGCAGTTTCCTTTTCTATATTCTAGCCTTATGGAAATAAAATGCACTTTTTGCCTAGAGATGCTCTGGAGATACTTAAAAACCATGTGGACATGATCCTGGACAAACAGTTCTAGATGACTCTGCTTGGTCAGAGAGTTTGGACAAGATGACCTCCCTTCTAACCTTGACCAGTGTGTGATTCTTTGAAATTAGGCAGCTAAATTAACAGAGATGCTCGACTACACCTATCATAGGTCTTCATTCACTCATTAAGAAAATCCACAGTCGAGCGCTAATGAAGTCAATATGTGGCAAGTCTGTAACAGCTGCCCTTAACTTTCACTGATAATTGTTCTCATTTAAATGGCATAATATTCAATATACTGTTGTTGAATATAGTAATGGCAAAATTCATGCCTTGGGGGCTACAATGTGACTGAATTTTAGCCAAACAAACTGAACTGTGACCTAATGGGGTATTATAGGCCTTTACACCTTTCAGATGCATAGGTCACAATCTCAGTCTGTATAAACATCTATGTAATTACATTACAAGCCATTCTTGCATATATTGAGATCATTCCAACAGATAATTAAAACAAAAACAATACAAGCATGATTCTATGACCTTTAAAGCAGGGAAACTACTGATTTCAATCAGTCTTCTTGYCTGTTAAAGACATAGTGTTATATTTCATGCTTGTAATATATTATGCCCAATTTTTAATCGCATTTAGTAACCAGCAGATTTCCAATGTTATATTTAAAAAAATATACATTTTTTACATGTATTCCTTCACAAATCAAATTTCTTCAGCCCTCTAGAAGAGYAGCATTTACAATCCAGAAATCTAAAATATGACATAATATGCACATAATTCCAGTACATATCTGTGTAGRTATCTCACATATATCTGTCTTAATTATATATAATATGTAAAGTCTATAAATAAAAAAACCATATATTTACATAATACAAGCATTTTAGATATTTGCTATACAAATATCTAAAATGCTTGTATTATCTCACATATATCTGTCTTAATTATATATAATATGTAAAGTCTATAAATAAAAAAAACAAATATTTATATAATACAAGCATTTTAGATATTTGCTATACAAATATAATGGATATATAATTATATGTAAATTTTACATTGGTAATGGAAATACCTATTTGAACAGGTATAATAGTTAGCCRTTAGAAAATAGATGCCTGAAAGGAWCCTAAAACWATTAAGGAACTCCATYTCATGTATGTCCTAACAAGAATAACAGGATTTCATTATTAAAATATAAGCCTTTTTAGTTCTCTTTCCCTAGGACTGTTTTACAGTTCAGTACACTTTTCTGTGAAAATCTGTATATAGATTATTTAAGAAAATATTTACAAGCATAGCTGAAGCTTTACATTGAATCACATAAAGCTGATTTATTTCTTTCACAAAAAGGACAGACACCTGAAGAGGAATTAGAAATAGATCCAGATTTTCTCAGAGCAAGTATAAATCCCATATTTTCAACAGAGGGCTAAGCATGCCACCACTGCCACCACTTAAGCGAGTAAAGCAATAAATCAACAATTTAAATTTTTAAAGTTTTTTAGGCATGCCCACTTCAATGAGTGGATGAGTTCTAGATAATGAAGAGCTCCCACAAAGTCAGAAGCAATTAAGAAAATTCAGAAGTATGTAGTATTAGATTATTAATCAGAAATAGTCTTACAAAATATAAAAAGTCACTTTGGAACTCAATAGATTATGAAATTTTTCAGATAAGCAACTATGCATGTTTATGACCATACACATAAAGCAAGCCTGTCCATTTTTCTGTTTATTTATTTTTATGCTGTTTGTTTATCTGTTCCTTTAATTTAAAGCTTTGTTTCAAAAATGGCCTTATAAAAAGGATTTTCCTGTTTACACATTACACTGTAAGGATACTTCCCAATATAACCATGATCATAACCCCCATTTCATCTATACCTTATCAGATATTTTTCCAAAGAAGGAAATAAAAGATAAAGGAGCTGCTGACTTGCATCTTAGTTTCTTAAGTCAAAAAGTTGCCCTCGAAAACTTGCCAGCTGCCTTTGATGGCCAGATCATGCTTGCAGGTAGCTAACCTCAGTATTTCCAGTATTTAAGGCATTTCCTACAATAAATGTAAGCAAGTACAAATAAATACTATGGTATGAAGCCACCTGTATTTTTTTAGCTTAGGAAAAATGGAATATTTTATTTTGCCAACACCATCATTAGTTTTCAACATGCCAGACTAAATTCACTTCATATCCTTCTACTTCTTTGGGTGCACCATCACCACATCCATACATCAGCAACAAAGAAGCCAGTCCCCTGGGCTTGAAAACATGCTTTGCTTTATTTCCTACCTGAAGAATGTAGCCTCGAACATAGTCTCGAAGTGTCCAGCCTAAGCCATGGAGAATATGCAACACCTCCTCTTGCTTCAGTACACTGAAGAGTCGGTCAAGCAGAATCTTCAGTCTCACAGGCACAGCCTGAGTACCGTAGAGCATCAGGCTGCTGATGTCAAATACAACGTTGGACTGCACAATCTCCACTTGAGTTGGGTGATAGAGGTGCTGAGTACTAAGTTTGTCCAAAGCTGAAAGAAAAGGGGTCAAGTATAAGAAAAGAGCAAAGAAAAGACAAGAAAACAACTCAGAAGAGTCGTGTATATATCACATTTGGCAGATACACTTATTTGCCAGAGAAATATCACCTGGYGATTCACAGAAACGTAGGATCACAGAACAGTTTGTGTTGGAATGGACCTTTAAAGGCCATGTAATCCTCCCCCTGCAATGGGCAGGGACACCTTCAACCACATCATGTTGCTCAAAGCCCCATCCAACTTCACCTTGAATATTTCCATGGATGGAGTGTCTGCAACATCCTTGGGCAACCTGTTCCAGTGCCTCATAATTTTCATTAAAATATTCTCCTTTATAGCTAATCTAAATCTACTCTCTTCAGCTTAAAGCCCTTGTATAATTGTACATTTGTATTACCCCTTGTACAACCACTATATGCCATTGTCAGAAGTCGCTTCCCAGCATTTTTGTACGGCCTCTTTCAGTACTGGAAGCCCACAATAAGGTTGCCAAGGAGCTTWGACCAAGCTTCTTTTCAGCTCTTYTCCTCACTGAAGTACCCCARCTCTCTMAGCCTGTCCCCACAGGACAAGGGCTTCATCCCTCTGATCACCTTGCTRGCCTCCTCTGGCACTCCAACAGGTCCAGGTCTTTCCTTTGCTGAAGACCCCAGARCTGGACGTAGCACTCCAGGTGGAGTTTCACCAGAGGGGAGCAAAGGGGAGGAATCATCTCCCACACCYTGCTGGCTAGGCAGCTTTTGATGCAGGCCAGAGTATGGTTGGCTATGTGGGCTGCAGGGGCACATTATTGATGTGTTCAGCATTTCATCCATTGAAGTTGCCCAGGTCCTTCTCTGAAGGGCTGCTCTCAGTGAGTTCACCACCCSGCATGTGCACGTGCTTGGGGCTGCCCTGACCCAGCACCTTGCACTTGCCATGTTGAACCTCATGAGGTTGACATGGGTTCATTTCCTCAGGCTTGCCCAGGTCCCTCTGTATGGCATCCTGTCCTTCAAATTGCACCCTTCAGCTTGGTGTCATCTGCAAATCTGCTGATGTTCTCACCATGTAATTGRTGGTGATGTTAAAYAGTACTGGTCCCAGAACAGACTCCTGATGGACACCACTCACTCTAAAGGGGTGCTTTTTCACAGATGCAGTCCAAAACAACCCGTTTCCAAAGTTCAAAAGCAATTTTAATTGCTACACATGAAAGGTTCTCAGGTGAGACTCAGACACTACAAYACTCATAGTTCAAGAAAAATTTATGATTGACTAATGACCAAGGCTGGAGCAATGTAGAATTGAAGGGGACTGTTAAAGATTTGATACTTAATCTCTGGAGGAAGAAAACCAAACCAGATACACATAAACTCCAGTCTTTCAAACGKGTTAAAACTAAGTCCCCTGATCTACCTAAAATTTGATCATGAATTCATTGCCCCTCGAGCTAGCTAGTTTTTTTCACCTGGCTTTATGGACTCCATGGTATCCASTATGATGTGACTAATTTAGAGATAAGGGAAAGGCAAGTTTTCAGGAAAGGTGAAGGCAATTCTTGTCCCCCTGTGAAGTTAAATAAGATGAAATGCATTTGATATCATGCATTTTAGTAAGTATCAATATTTAAATGTAATTTTATTTCTACTCTATGAACTATGTTGCAGCACCTAAGCTTCTCACTGCTTTTTTAAACATAATTTTCTGAGCATTTAAAATAATCTTATAGGGACTTCTCCTGTACTTGGTTTCGTCTTGTGTTATGGTCACTAGAGAGTTCATGTACTCTTGATAAATTGCTTTCTTATATCCAGAGCGCAAAGGCCCTTATCATTACGTGCTGGCTTCATTCAACACATTTACTCCAAGGACTACATTGTCAAAGAGTCCTGGTTTCCTCATACTYCATTTCTTGCAACTGATTTGTCTGATCTTTCCTATTCTAGTGRCTAAGTCAACTTTGAATAAATAGCTTTAAATATTAATTTAACATTCAAACAAGATAAGAAATTGGCAAGCCTAGGGACTTCAGTCCTACATCTCTCTACARGACATTTATACTGCAGCATATTAAGAGTGGGATTTTTTCTTCCAAAAGCTCATCTTCCAAAGTAGCTCAGCTATGTAGGCTTCATGATGTGGGACTATTTTTTTTTTTTTTTTGCATGGCTAATGAATGAGACTTGATTGAAGCTTAAACAGGTTAAATACTGCCCTGCCTTTCTTTTTGTTTCCTTTTTATTTRTGATATTTTTCTAAGATGGTTATTTTGCTACTTCCATATGTGCCATCAAATTCTCAGCTAGAAAAGCCAAGAAAATTGATTTTGTTATTGGGCAGGTTGTGCTATGTGTGATGTGTGATGATATGTATATATGTATACCTGAGGGACTGAGCAACCATTCAGAAGGAGTAAAATAAAGTTTCTTTTTTTCCTARTACTATCATTACTCACAAAAGGAATGGTGTAAATAATATTAGTGTTAATAGATACTGTGTAAGAACACCTTCTGCCAGACTATTGAAATTATTGAGCAGACATGGATCACACTAAGCTTTTCAACTTCCATCTTACAGAATGAGAGTAGGGTCCAAAGACATTAACTGGCTTCTCCAAGTTTGCACAAATTCAGATCAGAACCAACATATGAATGGATATTTTCTGAATACTTGCTGCTTTTTAATGACTGAATCATACTGTATTTCTAATATATCCTATTATTTGTTTTTGTTTCACTCTTCTTAACASTAAATACTATGCCTGCAGTGAAGAAAAACAAGTTCTTCCAGATAAAGGGATTTGTCATGCTGAAGATTTTAATATCATTCTTTTACTGTTGTCTGAGTCAGAATGACTATAAGACATCTTTATCTAAAGTTTATTGCATGGATTACAGATCTAATAGCTAGAATGAGATCACAAAACTGTGGACATATACCCACTTTATGTAATGTGAGGATAATGGCTTTGGAAATTTTGAGGTGGAAGAGAAGTGAGGGGAGGGAAGTAAAAAAAGTATTTTTAAATTACTAAGCACACTCTTTGACCAGGTGATCGAAAGTTTTGCAATCTAACCTGTACTATTTATTCAACTGCAATATTCATTTTCAAGCAGTATTATCTATAGGTATCTGCTTCTCAGAGCACACAGACAAATACAAGTTAATATGATATTGGAATAACATTCCAAGTGACAATGATATTAACTCCAATTTTGATTTTCTGCCTTATTATGTATACTACATAATAAACAAATAAGCAGTGAATTTTATCTTTTCCAAAAACAACTGAGCACTAAAATGGGAAATTTACAGCACAAAAAAAAACATACATTATTGCATGGGTGCATAAGAACATTTGCAAGTTAAAGACAAACCTCATGCTACGTTAAAAAAAAAAAAAAGGGCTATAAATTAAGGAAAGTGCTCATATGGGAAATAACACTATTGTAAGAATCTTAAATTCTGTCAGAGCACTGATTAATAAATCTCTTCAGATAGTCAAAAGAATGAAAATTCTCACTCTAATTTGTAATCTATACAAATTTTCATGTTTCTGTAAAAGATTTGCTAAGGAGATTGCTAAGGATTTAGCTGACAGAGAGAATTTTTCTGGTATTTCTCATTTCTCCTCTGGTATCCTTAGTGAAATAATGCCACTGGTGTTCTAGGTGGATTCAAGAGGCCATTAGTGTTGATAAACAGATACATTTTCAGGTAAGAAATTAGGAAGGACCTATCTTGTTGGTTTTCTGTAAGAAAAAGAGTATTAGCTTTAGCCTTCTTGACAAATTCCTGATTCTTGTCAAATCTCAGAGTAAATAGTTGTATTCTGCTGTCCTGAATTACCCACATAATTTCATGTGGATAATTCATTCCTCATCACTTTCTGTTCTAAACTATTAGTATAATTTATATATGCTAATGAACAATGTCCTGTTTTACAGGGGGAYACATTCAACAGTTTCTGCAGTAGTTTATGACTTCATAAATGGTTAGTAGCCTTCAACATTAAATATGGTATACAAAAAGAATGTGTTTTTTCATATCAGAAAAATGACAGATGTGCCTTTATTAAGGAGTTATCAGAAACTGAATATCACAAAACACACATTAAAGGTCCCCTTCTGGTGCTCCATGAGGTATTATTCATACTTTCTATACTTCCGATGGGATCAAAAGTTCACCCATAAAAGTCTTAAGATGACATTTTAGCTGTAACCTGCACATTTTTCTCCACAACCATGACTGTGATGGGATGGGCTACGTGCTTAAACTAAGAAAGCTACTTTTTCTTAACAGTACAAGTTAATTCTCAGCACTGCCTTGATAGTCTGATATTCATTAATTCAGTATATGTGGAAAGGTATCGTCTGATAGAGGAGAMGAGATCTAACAAATCTTAAAATCAAATACTTGCTGAGCAATCAACTTTTTCATGGAATGGCCTAAAATGACCTTTGTGTTTCATTCTGACAATATTTAGTCAAATAATATTTCTGTGTTGCGAGCCCAATTTCAAGTCCTCRTTTGAGAAATTTAAATGGTTAAAAAAAGGTGGGGGGAAAGGATTGTATAGAGGCCATTACAGAAGATTGCACTCAACAATGTAAAATTACTAGCTAGATAATTATTATATCAATTAGAAATAGTTGAACATGGTTTTTTCCAACTCTGAAATATCAAGTACGTGCCAAATTAAATGAGAATATTTCAGCTGGAAGGGACCTAAAATGACCATCTAATCCAACTACCTGAGCTCTCTAGAGTTGATCATCAGTTAAAGCATATTGAGGGGCTTGTCCAAATGCCTCTGGAACATGGAGAGKCTTGGGGCTCTGACCACCTCTCTAGGAAGTCTGTGGTTTGACCAACTCCCAGTAAAGAATTACTTTCTAGGGCCAAGCCTGAAACTTATTTGCTCATTCACGCTTTACTTTCTYGAATAATGAACAAAAGCCCCCAGATTTTAGAGACACTCTGCTCAGTATAATCGGAAATGTAAAAAC